GCGGCGCCAAATGACAGACTGCTGAGTGCGCGCGTTTTACACGCGTCCTGCAAGAAGCGGAGCAAGCGAATCAAGCGGATCAAGAGGGGTAAGCATGGCGGGTACCAGAGCAAGTCATGTGACTGTTCACGACAGTTTCGCATGGGAGCTAACTACGCATGCGCAACGCAAGTACACCATGCGGACTCTCAATCGATGAGGCCATTTTGAATGCCCGAGCCATACGCGCGCGCGAACGTGCGCGAAGCTCATTGCGCTTGCGAAAAAAGGGAGCACGTAATTGACACAGACTGTAGGGTGTGGTCACTGCCGGCTCATGGAGGTTGGACCCCGCAGCCGCTTCACTTGGACCCTGGGCCAGTCTGCAACAAATGCTTTTAGCATTTGTCATTCCTGTTTACGCGACTGAAAACTCGCAAGCGTTCCAAGATGCTCAAAACTTATAGGCAGCGTCTCGGCAAAGTGACGAGTATAAGAATTTTACAGCGATGCAATAACAGTTCTCCCAAATCTATATCTATATATATCAGTGGCGGACCGAGGGGGGGGGGGGGCGGGGGGGGGGGGGGGGGGGCGCGCGCGCCCCCCCCCCCCGAGAATGGGTCGCGAAATTTTTGAAACTTACCTATATGGGTTATAAAATTGTGCAAACGACTTGTTTGCACTTGAAAATAATTAAAATAATTTTTAAAATTTTCTAAAAATTCATTTTAGCCTTATAAAAAAATTTTTTTCGGGGGCGTGGCTGACGCCACGCCCCCTTTTTCCAGATTTTAGGGGTCGGGGACCCGCAAAAATTTTGAGAAGCACCCCAAAAATTTTTTCGGAGTGCGTGGCTGACGCCACGCACCTTTTTTAGAAAAAAATTTTTGTCGCGCGCCCCCCCCCCCCCCCCCCCGAAAAAATTTCTCGGACCGCCACTGATATATATATATATATAAAACTCAAAAATTGTCAGTTTGGAGGGTATGTGCGTTATAGAAACGCGCGCCGCTCAACCGATTAAGCTGAAACTTTACACACATATGTTTTCGAGCCTTGCGCAGATGATAGGCTACTTTTTGCAGCGATTCGTTGGGTCCTTCTATCGATTTATTGATTTGCAGCACTTTGCAATAAAAATGATTCTTATCATTTGCTATCAAAACAGGGGCATGTAAACAAGGCTGGCATGTCTCATTGTGAACTTCTGTTGACGAAGTGCAGTGAAAAGTGTTCTTGATGTGAGTCTTAATTGCTCATTTAAATGGATGCACTAAATGTATCTTATGCGGAAACCTTAGCGTGCAAGAGACCATGAGTGCTTTGTAGCGAGTGTTTTGTATGGAAGCGTGCTCAATTTACGCTTATAATCAATGCTTTCTTCGTTACATGCTCAATTTAAACAATGAGGGGTCAAAATTTTTCATGAGATTGCGCACAAATTATTTGTTAATACCAGAAAAATATACAAACAGAGAACAGCATAAATTTGGACAAAATTTTTATGCACATCCGGCACGAGGGTAGTAAAAGTTGAGTTGGAGCCGTTCCCGAATGAAAAAGCAGAGATTGTCGTAAGTGCCAAGTTGGAATGAACATACTTACTGCTAAACAAGTTTATTCAAATTATTACGCGATTGAGGAGCTCAAACACGACCTTATTCCAAGTGACTGAAAATATGACACGCTTTTCCTAATGATCTTCTACTTACTGTAGAGAGCTCAAAATGGCTAGTAAGCACAGATAGCGATATCGTACCAGATTCGGTGCGTACCTGCGATTAAGGCCAAGTGTAATGTTATTATACGAAGGATATGTGATAGAAGATATTTTCTAACACCAAATCTACAGAGAGTAAGATTTCAAGTTCAAATACTCACTCTTCACTTTCAGAGAGGACCAGAGCATCTAAATTGCAAATGTCAAGAAGACACTACATTTGTCACCTTCTCTGAAGTATCATAATAATATCATATCAGAAGTATCATACTGACTTCTCAAAATCGCTTCAGTCTTAGTGAGATAGGAAGCCAACCATGGCTGGGTTCATACTGACCTGCAAATTCCTTTCAGCACAACGCTCTAATTGTGCGTTGTACTGGGACTCCGGATCAGCATGAACCCAGCCTATATTTCTACACTTGATAGTGGCTTCTGGTGCTCCTACTGCCTTGCGCATATTTCGCGTAAATTCTGCCCCTCCCCCCACGACTCCTTAGTTATTTGGCAATTTGCGCATTACGCCAACGGGTTTTGCATGTTATGATTCTGCAAATACATAGGCCGACTCTTAATAAAGGCGGTCGGTTCGCTGGAGAATCTTTCATTTGGTCAGTGGAGCTCGTACGCCCGCGCACTCTTCACACTGCAAGTGCTTCGTTTGCGATTAGTTTATAATGAAAGGCTAGAACTTAGCTAAAATTTTGTATACTCCGTTTCTTCGCGTTTGCTTTTACATCCACCTAACATTTCTACACCTCTATATAAGCCACGAGTTTAAAAAATCAAACACTGTCAAATCGCGCGGCGATTGGAATCATGCGCGATATGAGTAATATAAGACCTACTACGGAGAAGCTTAGGTGCATACGGATAAGCATACATACACAGATGAGAACCAAGAGCGGCTGGCAATGTGATAGTGGGAACAATGACGCCCTTCGCCCTGCCTGCCACCCGCCACGCGTGGCTAACATGTTGGAAAACATGTAGCAACATGTTAGGACCAACATGTTGGCTGTGAGGCTGAGGGAGGACGACGTATTTTTGTATGTTGAAGTAATAAAGAGGGAATACCATATCGACTCGGATTCCAGAAATGGCAAATTCTCTTCCTCTTACTGAATGTGAGCTTCAAAAGTTTTTTCCAACCTGTTTCCAACTGCTACTACAGAACGGCTGATTCCGATTTTTGTCAGTAGATAAATAGTATCTACCTTGAGCAGTCCGTAGGCCAACGAATCGACGATACATAAAGGCAGGGCCCGGAAAATATCCGGAGAAGTTC